GTGCTGTACGTGATTCTTTCCCCTTACGACAACGAGCAGTCGGACCTCGTGCACAGAATCAGCGAGGACAAGAAACTGGAAGAAATTCCTAAATACAAGTAAGACAATCTTTGTGCTCCATGAAAACAAACAAACGGCCCTCAGGCTGAATGTGATGTGGGTGCCAGTTACTGTGTCCTCTGTAAATGCAGTTACAGCACTTCAGCTACTATGAAAGGCCAGAGATGTGCAACCAGGAGAAAAATGTGAAAAGTGAAGGCCGACTTAATCAACTGTACAACATACCAGTCGCTTCGTGTCTGCAGATGTAGACACATACTGTACACAGTGCATGTAGCGAGACAACCTTTGTGAACGCAGGCATTTTCACTGTGTTCCTCTGTCCTTCCTAGGGACCTTCTGAAACAGTTCACCACCATGGAGCTGATGCGCTGGGCCGCCCTGGTGGAGGATTATGGGAAGGAGCTGAGAGAGGGCTCAACCGACAGCCCTGCCACAGACGTCTTCTCTAGTTCAGAAGAGGGGGAGAATAGGTGGAAGGACCTGAAGAACAGAGTGGTGGAGCATGTAAGTCCCAGTCAAGTGGAGGCTCTTCATAGTTGGAAACGATGCGCACATAGTCGGATGGGTTTGATGAGAATTTGTCGGTGCTTGGCAGCAGGGAAACGTCTAATCAAATAGGTTTTCAAAGAGATTTTCAACTGCATTGTTATCCCAAACTAGGCTAGCACATTCAAACCAATGATTAATAACGAAGAAGTATATTATCAGCAAAAAAAATGGAAGTTGCTCTAGATGTTATGAAGCAGTCTTTTTTTCAGGTTGGCTGGGCTTTGTTCAGACTGCCATCCCAAATCTTTTTTTTTTTTTTTTGACATATGCATATTGTATCCAGATTGATTTTTAAAAGTCTGGACAGCAAAAAAAACAAACATGAAAAGATATTTTTGCAATTCGGATCCAAACCACATTTGGAGGTGGATGGAATTGCGATTCCAATCAGACTTCTACAGATGCGTCTCAGTCCGGAAGTCAGTTGAACATCGAGGACAACGACAGTCCGTGGACTGATGCCAAGATATATTGTCTGCTGGCACTTTCACTTTCTGCTGCCAGAGAGCCGTAGAAGTGCAATGCAAGCCAAATAGTAAAATTCTGATTTTTATATTTTATATTTGTGCAGATTGATATGTGCAATATTAAAGTACGCTCAAATTGGATTAGTAATGGATGGTTGGATTTCACTCGTGAATATTTTGCGTCGATGTGACCTAAAAGCACCTCTGTTCTAACCTGATATAATTATCATATTACAGTATATTCTGCTGCAGATATATATATTAATGAAACTCTCCGTTTATCCCCAGAACATCAGAATAATGGCCAAATATTACACCAGAATCACAATGAAGAGGATGGCTGGACTACTTGACCTCTCTATTGACGTAAGCTAAGTTTGACTTATTAGCTGTCTGTAATTCAGCCAGCATGATTTGACTTGATTGTCAGGATTTGGTCTCACTGGAACACATTTTTTTTTCGAGGTATCGAACATGATGTCTGTCTGCTCAACTATTTCACCAGGAATCCGAGGAGTTCCTCTCCAGCCTAGTTGTAAACAAGACCATCTATGCCAAGGTGGACAGGATGGCCGGCATCATCAACTTTCAGAGGCCTAAAGACCCCAACGACCTGCTCAACGACTGGTCGCACAAACTCAACTCCCTCATGTCTCTGGTCACCAAGACCACACATCTCATTGCCAAGGAGGAGATGATCCACAACCTGCAGTGAAACAATAACACAGCGCGTTATTTTACGTTTCGGTTCATATTTGTTTTTGTTTTTTTTCTTCTGTGGGAATGTTTTTGAATAAACAGTACATCAGCGGACTGTGAATGCAGCGTTATTACAATGTCATATAATTGAAGATAAATCTGCAGCACCTCAACTATGTTCATTTTTTTTTACAATCCAGTAAAACCGTGACAATAAACACATGAGCACCTCTCTTCTTTGCATCCTTGTCAGTGACTGGATCCCAAATGTGCTTCCTGTTGCCATTTAATGGATTATAAACAGTAGTTTCAAATTCATTGCTGTATGAAAACTCATTGAAATGTGTCCTTATCAATGTAAACCATAACCTCACATGTGCTTAACAGTTGTAGGTTTTAAACCGTATTTAACCGGCGTACAATCTAATACGACAAATGTTAAGCTTACACGCGTCACTGCATCACATCATTCACGTGTTTTCTGTATAAAGGATTATTAAAGTACGAGCGGAAATACAGGAATGTGAAACTTTGAAACAAAGACAGGTTTCAGGTGTCAGTGTGTGAGATAGTTAAGTCACATGTAACGAGACTTAGCGAAGAGAAAAGAAACAGTTTTGTTCTAAAACAGACACTTGAGATGGTGAATCAAGATGTTTGCAAGTTGTAATACAACACAGTTAAATGCAAGAATATTGAGAATCATTTCTATTTTGTATGCTGTTACTAGTTTTGCCCAATGTTACCTGTCTGTTTAAGTTGGTGATGTCATTGTCATGCTCTGCTGCCCCTAATTTGTGGTGTTCTTGAACTCTTTCAAAAACCCCGCCATCAAAACCTCTGCTCAAAGTTTTATCAACGGTTACACTGAAGCAACAATCCACTACAGGTCTACGGTAACAAAGCAAGATGCAACAATTGTTTGTGTCTGCAGCTAAGATATTCTACAATTTCAAATTGTATATTATCTTGTAATTTTGGGGTGATGGATCGTAGCTCAGCCGTGGTGTTTGAAACAGCCCCCTCTCCTTCTATGCTAGCTAGTTAGGTAATAAGGAGAGTTCTACCTGACTTTGTTCTGACAGCTTGTGGAGACTCATGTTGGTTTTTCCCTTCATTTGGCTCCTACCTGCACATTTTTACTGCACAGCCCCGCATAACGCGTAACCTCCTGCCTGAGTAATTGGAGACAGAATGACTGGCTTCATATTCTATAGTAACACACATGGAATTCTATTTTAATGGATGTACACCTTGATAGCATTATGATGTTATCTAGAATGGATAGCCCAGTTTATTGTACAAACTTCAACTAAAGACGATTTAAGTGAAACAAAACAATACAGTTTAGAATTAAAATGGAAAAGCCTTGAAGGATCCTTGTCACCATAAAAGTCTCTCAGCTCCAACCTCCACATCTGCAGATGTGGCAGCAGGATGCTCTAGGAAAGCAAACACTGACCATTACGCGGAAGAGGAAACCAGGCAGGAAATTACATCACTAGCTTGACAAAAATTTTGGTTGAAATATGAAACCTCTTGAAATGTAAATACAGTCCTTTGTATGAAGAACTTGAAATAAAGCATTGTCTCTATCGTGTTACCTGCTTGGTTTCTTTTCAGGTCTAAACCATGCATATACAGTATATATATATATATATATATATATATCTTAAATTCCATTTATTAAATTCTTTGCTACTGTGATGGCCCTTTTCACAGCAGCCATTTTTGACTGCCATTGCAGGGTAAACACAGGTGTAATTATAACATTAATTTGGCCCTGTTCCCTTTAGTTGGGCCAGGACCCTGTGTGCGCTGGCTCACTGGAATGGCTGACTCCCTCTTCTGTGTTGTATTGTAATAGTACTGTAATTGTTGAGCAATATTAACAACTTTGTTTTTTGGATCTTAATGGACGGTACAGTACACGGTGTCCCTAGTTTGAGACTGACCAGCAATGTTTGTAGCATGTCACCCACCTCTCTCCCAATTTTATTTATACACTGATCTATCAAAAAAAGGCAAAAATGCTGTAAAAAAAAGTTTTGGGCTGTCAACTACCTGCACATACTTTAGTGAGAATCTTCATTTAAATGTTAATTTTAAATTCATGACATTAATAATGTCTGTATTCCAAAAAGGTGGTTAGTTCCAGGTCCCGGTATTGCATATGTTACCACAGGAATAGAGCGGTCATCAATATTATTAGTTACAACGGGGCTTTCCTGCTGACAGGTTGAAAATAAGTCTACAATGGATCTTAATGTGGAAAAGATTGAGTATCAATCACAATGTAAGATCTCCTAAATTATAGCAGACTGTAATAAATATGGTCAAACTGTCCTCAAATGCTTTTTCCAAAGGAAACATCCACACCTGCTTTTATTACCAACATTTCTGAGATGTCTTTCTTTTTTCAGTTTTTAATGTGTCAAGTTAACATGCAGCTCGAATCTTCATTGTTCGGAACATTTCTAATTCCTCACATAGTTTAATCCTGCATACACATACCTTACACGCTATCACAATATTCATGCTCATTGAGTTATTGTAGTTTGACTTAATATTTGATTTACCCTCACTGATTCTCTTTTGTCTTTGCTCTGAAATATTGTCTTGCTATTTATTTAGTTAGTTCGGAATTATGCCAGCCTCAGCACCAGAAACTCTCCAGCTGTGCTAAAATACAAACTACATACTGCTAATGGCATCCCATGTGGAGTTTAATAAGCCTGATGATGACTGGATGGATGAAAATCCCCCTGATAGCAAAGACTTTCAACAGTATCATTCCCCTTTGTTGTTTAGCTTGTTTTGAATCAGAAACAAAAACAAGATTTATCCCCAAGATATATTGCTGCATTTCTTTTAGTTCTCATGCCATGGAAAGCCAGTCGTAGTTGAGTGTTAAATGCGTGTTCAGAGCCAAATGTCTCACGTTTGTGTTTTTTATGCCTGTATACAAATACGCAAGTTAATAAGTATAAATTAAGTGGCTGTTTTATTCTCCCTGTTATAGGGATTTCAAAAATGTCTCATTTTAACTTAATTTAATTGGAATCAACCGTAAATATTAACCACAAGTTGTATGTTTGAGAGGAACTATATCAGAAACCTTTCAACACGAACGCTTTTCGACACGGAAGATCCCTGCCATCAGAGGCCACGCTCACACGCGCACGCACACACGCACGCACTAACACACAGTCCTCTCAACCTTCAGATCAGTACATCCCACTATGCTTTGCGATGGTCTGACAAGTGGATCCAAGATGGCGTAGAAAGTAAAGCTAGGTAAGTGTTGACTTCCCATTTTCAGCCCTTTCAGTTGTCTTTTTCACCGTAAAGCCACTGATATAAACCCCCTCCACAAATCATTATGATAACGACGGATGCTTTGAGTTCACGCAAGGATAACAGCACGATGTCACATCAATTATATTTGCCTAAACACCGTGGCAAAATTACAGGCCCGAGCCCGTTTTGTTTCGGCGAAGCTAAGCTAGCTAGCCAGCTAGCTTGCTAACATTAACAAACCAGCCAGCTATTCTTGTTGTGAGCTTGCCAGTTTGGTGCCAAGAAAGGCCGTGCTTTGGCTAGCAAGCTAACTGTTAGCTACGCATACTCTGGTTAGTGGCAACACTGTTTACCCCGTGCAAACGCAAACGGCAAGTTAACCAACATTTGTGAGGACATTTTTCAGGGCTTTGTAACGCTGCCGTCATCGCTCTGACTTGCAACAGTCATGTCAAGTTCAGTAGCAAAACAACAGCTAACGTTATAACTCCAACGTTTCCTACTGAAAGACCAAACGAGTCGTTTTTAACCTTTGCGGTTATTGGCGTGATCTCTCTCGATATTTACCTTTTGGGCTTTGTGAAATTTGGAAGTTTCATAGCCGTGTTTTTCTGCACGTTGCTGCTAACGACACTGTCAAGCCTACGTTATGTCAGGATTAAAGCAATCGATGTTCTTTTACAACTATCCCCAACTATAAAATTCGCTTTCTCCTCCTCTGTACTTCAGGCGAAGCTATAGCCTCTGTAGTAGAAACCCACGAGTGGACACAAAAAAACAAGCCAGGTGTCCACCCACTGTATCCCGCCAAACTATTTGTTGTTTCCCCCATGATGTGGCTGGCTTGCAAGCACCAACATTAGGTAACAGCTATTCTGACTGTTAAATTAGCAGTGTTAACACATGCATATGTTTTAAAATAACCTCTGTTAATTGGAGAAGGTTCTGTGTTAAGATCAGTCACGTTTGGTTTCATCTTTGACCCTATTTCCATTTCCCAGCCACAGACCTAGTGTGCTGGCCAAAGCAACATTCAACCCTCATTTTGCAGGCCTCACACACTGTGCAACATTTGCTAACTAGATTCTAATGAGTTTGTTGTAAAATAGGGACACCAGAGTTTCCACTATGACAGTAATGTCATAAGATGCCTCTTGATGTGGAGTATATGTTTCAAATGTTTTTTACATTAATCAAGTATGATCTATACATTTCCCTGAATGCACCAGTACCTGTCTTCTGGGAACAGTGGTTGGACCAGCGTTTCTTGTTTAAGATACTCAAGAAAAGCTGTGTGTTATTATGGTGTGGGTGCTACAACAGTATTTGTCCGGTTTGGCCATAGTATACAAGCATACATTATCACACAGCCTACTCATAACAAAGTATTGTTCCTCATCTGAATCTTGAATGTTTAGAGGAAGTGAACTCAACAGCAGTTTTTTTTCTTGTGGAAGAGATGAGATTGTGGAGAGAGCTGTAATATGTTGTGAGATACTTTGCAGGAAACACTTAAGTGTTTACTGTTTGGGATATGCAGTCGTTGGTGTGCTGTCTTCAGCAACATTGGATTTTAGGGGGAAAAATATTGCATATTGCAAATATTGTATTTTACCTTTGTTGGCCTCGAGTGTTAATTATTTTTCGAATAAAAGAGTTAAAACTATGATAAATGGTATACATAAACACTAACTTCAGATTTAGTCTTTTGTCATGTGTGCACCCAACATGTACTGTACATTGGTTAGAGAATATGTCTCTATATTATGGTCCTAAGGGACAGGAACTGGCGGACTCGGAGGCAGCTGCTACAAGCATAGCTGCCTGTTGCTTGGTATTCAAAAAGTAACTTTCTGAAAAATTTACTACAGGGTCAATATGCTCTTTATTGCTAAATAATGCCCAGGTGGCAGATGTACTCAGTTTTTCCCTCTTCTCGCATAGCAAGTTATTGCACATGAAATTCCTTATGAATCTTCTTTCATAGAAAGCCGTTTCTCTACCAGGTTGTGATATTATCTGTTATTTAATATTTTCGTTTTACTGCTAACTGAGCTTTAACATATAGGCCTAGTAGCTGTCTGCTGTCTCACTTTCAAGGACAGCTGTCACAAATATACCCCAAAATACTGGGCCACAGGCCACAAATTCACTGGTCCTTTTGAGCCAGTCATAATCAAAAGCTGAATTCCAGACTGTGGTGAGGGCCAGGATGGAAATTCAGCATCAGCTAATTGTTGTGGAATTTTAATTGGCAACCAAAAAGTTAGTTTTGCCTGCCATGTTGGCACACAATAACTATAATGGGGCTTTCAAAGCAGCATTGTTGTTATAAAGGGTGTTTTTCTGCCAGCTTGCGATAAAATGCAATGTCAATGGTGAAACTAGTAAGGTGGAAATAGAACCAAAAGTTACTAAACTATCAGCGAAGGCTGAGCATGTGTTGCCCTGGAGTTCCCAAGCAGGCCATGGTGTACCATCCCTATCCATATCGGTACTGGTTGGTGGGAAGGAGGGCATGCTGCTGCTTGTAATCTCAGACTGAGGTTTAGATTATTTAATGCTACAGTATACGGCTATAGTAGTTATCTCGCTTCAACAATAGGTTAACACATTTTCACACTCGGTATTTAAGAAAAGGGAAAGCATCCCCTTTCAGATCAAACCGTTCAGCTGGGCTTAACCAGCTCTTTCGTTAATAAATGCTATCTGCCCAGACTTCATGATCCTTCTTCCAACCAAGGTTTAACTCGGGCCAGACGCTGCTCAGCTTCGGTATGGAAGGGTGAATACAGGTTTCTGCAGTATTGAACTAGAGATCATAAAGTGCAATGCTTAGTGGGCTAGATTCCTCTGTGCATCTGTCGAGTACTGCTTTGGGACTCAAACAGATGAGGATGCTACTTATTTAACACTTTGGGGCATACTTAGCTTTTCGTTACATGGGATTTGATTGCTGTAATGCTACTGTTAATAAGAATCTGGGATGCTTGTCCTTCGACATATTGCAATTCTTGACATTCCTTAGAGTTGATTCTGAGTCGAGGTTTGTCTCCGTTGACTGTGGAAAGCTGCAAAAGTGTTTTCACTTGTTAAAGTCAGTTTTTTTTTTTTTTTTTTTTTTTTTTTATATATGAAATGAATTTAGGCAAACACAATTTTATGATACAAACCTTGTTTCTAACCAAAAACCCCATTTAAAAAACAAAAAAAAAAAACATGGACTTGTGCATGGAATGTGAGCAGGATGCCTTCTCTAAACTATAGAAGCTGTGTAGAGGCATAAGTAGATACTCTGAGATTCAGTATATAGGCATGTGTTCTCATTGGCACATAGATGGTGTTGACCGTCTGGCTCTGTGGCTATGATGTGTCACAACACACCCATTTCCTTCTGCACACTGTCCACCACGCTATACTGCCTAGTCTCAATAAAGGCTTCACATTCTGTATTATCAATTATGATCATGCCTTTAGTCTAAGCAGTCGGATGACGCCAGACAGTTGACTCCACTGTTTTTGGCTTTGGAGCTTGAGATGATAAATATGTCTCACATAGGCTAATGCTTTAGGCCTGTCATGTGATCGTTGCTCTCTCAGCTTGTTGCATATGTATTTGAAATGTACACTGTGTGAGCAGAGGCCCAGAATAAAACAGGGGTGTGAATCTCTAGGCACCTCACAATTCAATTCAGAGGGCTACGATGCCATTAGAAAACAATTTATCGGGAGAGTTGGGAGGAAGAAGAAGCAAAATGCTTCCATACGTTAGCTTTTAAGCCGGGGTGTGCCGGTCGAATTGTATCCATAGCACAGCCACCCTCCCCAAAACTCTGCCAGCCTAGTTCAGAACGTGTTTTACTGTTACGTTGATTTCATTGACTTTTAGAAACAATTATGATTGCACCAAATTTAAACAAGCAACCACTGCAGTATAATAAACAGTACAAACAGTGTATTTCTTTTTACAGTTATATTTTAATATAGAAAAATATTCAAGACTATTCACGCTGAATTTAGCAGCATGGTGGCCCCCCCAAAAGTGAAGCTGAAGCATCTCGATCGTGGTCAATGTTCGATTAATAGTGCAACCCAAACCCACGAGACCAGCACGGAGGAAAGTTAGATCTAAGAATTTGAATTAGAAGTTATGATTTTATTTAGCAAATGATCAAGTTGACAGTCAGTTGTATTTTTCAAATTCCACCTCTTACATACATGAAAATAAAGTTCTGAACACCGGCTGAATATCTATTATCAGAATCTTTATAACTATTTTAACTGCTACTGTGTAAAGGGAATACTGCTGTTAAAAAGCACCTTATTTGTTTAAAGTGTTTGCAAACCAAATGTTATTGCACTTTTGTTCATATAGCAGTACTTTTAAAATAAAACAAAAACATGCAATGTGGTTCAAGATGTTTCAGTCAGATGCAGAAATGATGGCAGAAACTTGGCCATTACATGTCAAGTTTGAGTTGGAAAATGAAGCAAACTAATGGGATGTGCCTCCCCAATAGTTGCGTGTGGGTGTACTGTAGGTTTTATTTTCTCAGATTGTATAACCTGATATGTTTTCCAATAGTCAGTATGGTCTGACCTATTTGCATGTCTCCTGTTAGACTAGAAGCTAACATACAACCAGTGAGCATGCGGACGGTAACAAGAAACAACCGGTCTCACTGACGTACATTCACTGCAGTGCCATAGAGAGAAAGGAAAGCCTTGTGAAAATGAGAAAAGGCGTAAATGTCCCAGTTTTAGTATGATATATCACACGTTGACACTATTTCTGTGCCTTGGTTGACGGTTGTGTTATTTCAGTTCCTGTGGTAAAAAGAAAAATCCTTCTCGACTATTGTGAAGTTTTCTGTCGTGCAGAGTCCTAGAGTTTTATGTACAATCTCTGGTGAGAGGCGTATCGGTCTTGGACTGATTTTTGTAAAGCCTCTCTTCATTTTGAATATAGGCTAAAGAAAATATTTGTAGTTTTTAACCAATGGCATCATTTAAGGCATGTAGCACCTGCAACATGCTGCTGAACCGGAAGTACAATTTCAGATTATAGCACAGTACAAGTTAGTCATGTTATGGTGGTGTAGCATTTTAATGTTTAATACAGCCAAATAAGCATTTCGTTTTTTTGTTTGTTACAGCAATCATTTGAAGGGTTTCCAATCGAGTGCTATATTGCAACTTTGTAGACATGACGAGCACCGCTTCCTTCACCCAGTACATTGGCACATTTGGTCACTTTGATGTGAGTGGCAGTAGCCGATTGATACAAATCTGGATTATTTTTTCTTTCTCATATTGCCCAACCCTGCTCCAGAAAACATGTTCATACTGTGTCTTTCTTTTTCTGACTCTAGACGTTTTGTCCCTGAGTCATGGCGGACAGGAGAGCGGAGAAGTCATGTGAAGAAGCCAGCAGATCGTTAGCCAGGCGGGAGTACGAGGCGGCAGTCAACCACAGCACAGACGCCCTGGTGGTCCTCGCACCACAAGCCCCACCCTCCGGCGCCCCCGTCCCACCCAGCCCTCCATCCCTTGTCGCTGCTGCCGGACCCCTCCGCAGCCGTGCCCTGCTCTATCGAATCGCTGCCTTCTTACAGCTGGTGAGGACCGTGGCTGTCTTAAGTATTGTTGCTGCCCTAGCGAGCATACAACCTGTAGTCTTTGTTGATCACTCTTTGCCTTTCTCCCCTTTTTGCTTTGTGGCCCTTAAATTATTTCTATTTTCTCATCATAACAGTCAACAATTACTGGGGTGGGGGTCTTGAAAATCCTAGTTTTGAAACAGAATTCTGAGCCGGCATATCACAAAATAAAATATAATTTTCTCCTATTCTAAAATATATTCATTACACTGAAATGATGTAGGCTGATCATTGTGCTTTAAATCCACTGTTGTACTTCTAATCACTTGGTAAATTACCATGAAGAGAATGTTACAAATGAGAACAATGAACCCTACTTTCTTCCTCCGTGGCACTGTTCTATTCAATTCCCATAGCACTAAAATTACACCAGTTACTTCGGCCCTAAGATTATGGAAGCTACTTAAGTCTTTAATGATAGTGTGAGGGGCTCCGCTGTGAGGCAAAGATAGCCATTCGTGGAGCTTAAGTGAAGCGCTGACCCTCGAACACAAAGGATTCCCATTTGTTATGGTTACTTTTTTTCTTCTCCTGCCAACAGAAAAACTATGATGAAGCAGATGAAGACTGCAAACATGGTGAGTAGCAATTCAAGTTGGAACCATCTGCTGACACGGTGTACAGTAGTCTTTTTATACCCAGTGGCAGACAAAGTGTGTGTGTGCGTGTGCATGCGCGTGCGTGTGCGTGCCAGGGAAGAACCAAGTTCAGACATGCCTTGGTCTCAGTGTAGCAGAAGAAATCTTAAATTTGGGCCCATGCAATTGCTTTTTAACTGTCTTATTGGGTCAGTGTCATGGCTTCATGACTACAATGTTGTAGAAAACAGACTTGAAAACTATGTGTTGCATATATTGAAAGAAACCTGCCTCAATGTATTGAATTCATTGTCTCCCTACCTGCTCCCTGTGTGTTCTTCATCCTGTCCTAGTCCTCGCAGAAGAGATGGCTCGAGGTGACGGTTCGCTACAGGCCAGCTTGCGCTTCATGCTGTTGGATGGCAGCCTGCAGGAGGTGGCCAGCATCCTCTCTAAAGCCTTGTATGGGGAGCCAATGGTATGATTGATGGACATTGTATACATTATATGCATTCAGACAGCCAACAAGTGCATACAAGGCTTAAATACTGTACCTGTTGAGGTCATGTTTTCCTTCCTAAAAAGAGGAGAAACCTCACTGGATGTTTTTAGGACATGAAAGGGATTCAAACATTGAATGTTAATGAACTTGACTTACTTTCACAGTGATCTGAGACGCTACAGTAATATCAAATACAGTGTGCTTAGTGATTAATATAGTCATAGTCAAGTCAATTTGAATTGATAAAAAGTTCCTACCTAACGTTGGAATGACTAAAAAGTTTACTCCGACATTGAAAAAGGGCAACGTGACAATAAATGTCAGAGGAAGTGAGGTGTAGTGCCCTAACTATAGCAGGGTTCCTTTGTGGATGTAACAGACAGAGGGTCTTTTTCTCCTGTCTGACTTTGACCTCCCTTCAACATGCATTTTGCTGCCAAGGTGCCTCCCCCCCTTTTGCAACCATTTCCTGCCCAATTCAACACACAAGCAGGTATTCAAAGGTTGAGCTTGTCCCCAAGGTCATCCAACATTTTTATGCAAGTGGGGACAATCGTGTTTGCGAGGCAGATCTCTGTCTCTCTCTCTGTCTCTCACAGGCAAACGTTATTCTGACACAGCTTGGGCTGATTAACTTTTCTCATTTGACTTGTTCTAAACGAATCAGGTGACTCAAATCAGGTCCCTGTTTATGGATTTAAAAACCACTAAAGACAAGAGAAGCTCTGCTGTTATCTATACTGTAAGAGCTGACACAGCTGCTCATTTGGAGTAGGGTCAGTAATAAATACATAAAAGCCCTATTGGAGACATTTCGAAAAGTTTTGATTGACATGCCTACACTACAATGCTTTATCGGACCAGATCTGCACTTCAGAATAGTAAACAAGACAAGTAAACATCTTTATTTGGCCTTTTGTTTACTAAAGCCGTGGTCTTTTAAGGTAAATCCACAGTGTCAGTTTTGGGTTATAAAATGCATCTGCCATAAAAAATGACCACTGAGACTCTGAAGAGTCTCAGAGCTAGATTGAGGTGTTGGGTCCAGTTACTGGCAGAAAATCCACCCACAAGTGACAAATTGAAAGAGCAAGATACAAACTGAAAGCGCTTCATCTGAATAATGCATGAGGTTAGAAGTTTCTTGTCACTTGTGTCCTTTTCGCATTCTTTGATGCGTAGCAGGTACAAACTGTGCAATTTCTCAGTCTCTCTCGCTGCCATTTGGTGCTGCAAATATTCACACATGTAGTGCAGCTTTTAAAACACTGGGACGGTGATGGATTTAAATACTGCCGGTAGATCTAGAAATGACATGATAAATATGATCACACCAAGCAACATCTGCCAGCTTATTTCAAAACAGTGGGGGTTATAGTTATTATGAACATGTACTGAAAGTCCCGATTGCAGTATTTTGTAGTAATGACGATCATGTCCTTACTTCTTTCACAGAACGGCATTGTCGCAAAAGACCTTTCCAGATTAAAAATGCTCTTCTCAGAAATAGAGGTAAGGGCTGCAAACCTTCCTGTTGTGCTCTCTTTTGTGCTCATGCCTTTTGGTGCTTGCTGGTTTATTCTCACGTTAACTTCATTATGTTGTGCTCCTCTGCTTAGCTTGTAGCTAGACTAGTTGTGGATGTATTACTCATTTGTTTGTAATAAGTCCAGTGGTCCAACTGCTTGTATGGCCATGTTAGTCATTCACATAATAGTAATGATCTTTCTGCCCCCACTCCCACCCACCCTAACCGATCTTTGTCTCCTGTCAGTCGATAAACAGAGAGATGGCACCTGAATACACGGATGACCAGGAGGAAGGTGAGCCAATCTCGTTTTCAAGACTTCCCTCAACAAAAAAAGTTTTGGCTTCGTGTCATATTAACCACATGGCTGTGTGTGTGCTTACAGAGTTCCAAGATGGCTGGCAATTCCGGCCTCCTCCCCGAGGAGTCACCAGCAGTGAGGAGTACACCCTCTGTAAAAGGTAATGCAAACTGTTTAGTCATTTCCAACCAAAGTGTCAACAATGAAGAATTTATTTCTCATCCAGAATATTGCTGAGGGGGATTTAATTAATATGTCATGCCTGCCGTTCTGTGTGAAATACTGGCATTTGATAATAAAGTGACTGATATAGCTTTCAGGAAGTAATGGTGGTATTCAGTTACACTGAAGGATATGGAAGTATGATTCTCAATAGTTAACTGCCATGAATTTTAATTTGATCTCTCTTCACTTTTACAATCATTCGTCCACATCCTGGATCTTTGTGTAAAAGATATTCCTGTGAACTTTCTCTGATTTTGATTTTGTCAGTCACAGCTCCAGTACACGTCCCACTGCAGCACCACCAGTATAAGTTACTGCTGCATGGGTTAGACGTTGTATTTAGTGGTGTAACAGATCGTTGCCGATTCGTTATACCACTAGTTCTATTGGTCTGCTGCTATGTATAACTTGTATTTGCCGTTTTATCAAATGAGTTTCTTAATTTACTATAATATGAAACAAAAGATATCCTCACACTGGGAAAGCTATAACTACCACATGCTCTTGCTATTCTTAGTGATTTCATGACTTCAAACTATTAGTTAGAATTGTCCCAGAGAGTGTTTCTTCAGCATCAGTTCAGCACACAGTTTGTCTCTGCTGTAGGTACTTGGAACAGGGCCTGTGTCGGTACGGGGCCCAGTGTACATCAGCCCATTCTCAGGAGGAGCTGATGGAGTGGCAGAAGCGCTATGCGTCGCGCCTCATCCGCCTCAAACAGCAGCAGGAGAGCAAACACTTCACCGAGAGCTACATGGAGACCCTGATAGAGAAGTGGATGAATTCCCTCTCCCCAGAGAAAGTGGTGAGTGCACGCAAGTTTAAAAAGTGGCTCAAAATGACAGAGAACAGACAAAATAGCATGCCACGGTGAGGGCTCACCTTCCCAGAAAGGCCACCCAAACTCAAAGGTGTGTATGGTACTGTGTTGTGATTTCACCTTGTGAATCTAGTGGGGGGCAGTTACAGTGCCGACCACTTTGTACAACCCATTCAATAGGCCAAGCTTTTTGTATGCACAGACCAAACATTGACTGAGTTGCATATTGTCATTTAATAACTTAGGGTACTGAAGCAGCACTGTTACTATACCGTATCTGCAGGGTAAAACTATCCATCCATGACCCAGTCAGGACCGTCTCAAAACAGACAAAGTGACCGAGAATTTAGTGTCAAGAATCCTACGTTGTCTCTTGACTGTTATGAAGCATACATTATGCGATACAGTTGAACATTCCTGAAGGTTGCATTCATTTATATATTTTGCAGCAGCGAACCTAACTTTCACCACATTTTGACAGACTACTTCTTGTAAAAGAGTTCCGAGTACATTTGCAGTGATGGATTCTGTCTAACCGTGTGTGTTTTTCATTTTCCAGCTAAGTGACTATTTAGAAGGAGTGAATGTAGAAACCAGCTCCAGCCTCTCTGTTACCGTCGCCACCAAAAAATCTGCGCACTCCTGGACCTTCTCCTTCTTGTGCAAGGTAGGATGACATGTTTAATACCAATGTACCATGTACAGATTCAGAAGTTTTCATTGTCTAACCAGATCATTTATCAGTGCTAGTTGGTCCTAATCATCTTGCGTGAATGTTCTGATTGTCTTCTTCCTATCTCTGTCTCCCTGACCAGCCGGCTAGAAAGCTGTGCCGCATCGCCCTGCTCTACGATGCCCACCGACCACACTTCTTCATCACAGGTGTGTCATCTGAGGAGCGGCTGCAAACCCTGTCCAACGGGTGCCAAGAGTGGACTCCAGGAGAGGAAACGGGAGGTATGTCCTGCTGTTATTTTTGTGTTTGCTTACTTATTGGCCCTATCTTGCATTGGTCTACAGCTTGTAATGTAAATTGTGTTATGAATGCATTTACACTAAACTTTACTGTTCCGACAGTGGCAGCAGACAATGGCATGGACCACTGTGTCTACCAGGTAGCGGTGGGCTTCAGCACAGAAATCTTTGGTACCTTCCGACAGACCGTTGTTTTTGACTTCGGCTCAGAGCCTGTGCTGATGAAGCGGATCATGGTGGATGCCGCCTCAATTGAAGGTATGCTAAAAGCAAAAGGTTTATCTAGAGGTCTTTAAAAACTGTGAGTGAGACAACTGTAAAAATCTAAATCGGCCAATAAAATGCATCTCTACAATTGGTCAAATATGCACTTACAGTGGTAAATGCTGTCAGCCGCCCTCCCTTTTTAGAATGGGGAATTTGTAGTTTGCTGGATGCACACATAATTGTTGTTTTTTTTTGGGGACAATAAACATCTCTCCATCCTTTGTTCTCAGACTTGGACTACCTGATGGCAGCCAGGCAGCAGCTCTTGATCTCCGCAAAGCGCTGGGACCCTTCCTGTAAGACCATCGTGGAATTCTGTCCCAATGAAACGATGGCCGACCTGGAGCGAAGCCTCCTCTCTCGCTATCAGATCCCTCTGTCGGCAGACCAGCTCTTCACTCAGTCAGTCCTGGACAAGACTCTGACCAAAGACAACTACCAGGCCCGGCTGCATGACCTGCTCTACATAGAAGAGATTGCACAATATAAGGAAGTTAGCAAGTGAGTAAACAAGTTTCCGTGGTTTCTACTTACTCTGATCGTAAAACTGATTTTCCATAACTGTACATAATAAAGCCTGAATAACACAGATTGACATATGAGAGATTAAAAACATCTACATCAATATATCAGCAGAATTTAAGCATACAATGTAACTACATATAAAGCAATGTTCAGGCTCAATATCATAAATAATATACAGCAAAACATTAATGATTTGGGAATTGAGGAAGCATTTGAACCAGGTGAACATTATAACTGTGGTATAGCATTCAAATAATTCCAGGCAAGACAAATGCAAGCTGTGTGCAAAGATCAATTCAACCGCTAGTTAAATGCAGACAAAAATGAGATGCACACATATATCCTAACATTAATAATTAAAATAATTACCATTCAGGAGTGACCGCGGGAACAAACAACCTTCATTGGAATATATCTTGGAAAACAAAACATTTGACAAAATATTCTCAACAAAAGATCTCCTCACTAGCGTTTCCCGGAGCTTTCATATTTGGAATGCAACTGTGCACCCTAAAGTCATCGTGATCGGCAAAGAATCCACTTCAGTGACTCTTCAGACCGTCTACATAATGGTCCTCTTGTCTTGTCAGTAATATGGCGAAAAATAACTAACATTACTCAAGAATAAAGTTTAAACAACTGCTTGTTGTGTTCACAACTACTAAACCGTCTGATGGTTTTAATGCAGTTTACATTTTTAATAAATATACAATATATTAATATAGTTTATTCATTTATTGATTATTTATAATCTGACTACTTAGAAGGAATAGTCATTGTTACCAATATAGACCTTGTGTAAATATTTCGTGTTGTAAGATATCAACCCGCCACAAGGTGTCAGACTCGACCTTCATTGCGTGTGTGTATATGAATCTCACACAGCGTCACTCAGTTTCAGAGCCATTTAATGTGTCTAAGGTGATTCTTTAGAGGTTGGTGAGGGGAACAGTGTTTTCTTTCTCTCGGATGAACATAGATTCTTCTTAAATTCATTACCTGCTCCTCCACTGGTTTAACTTAATGATATGCTAATTAAAGGTGAAAACCGAGTATATGCTTAATCCCACTTGCAGTGATATCAGTACAGTGCTTTAAATTTCTCCGCTTTCATCTTTGCTCTTAGTTTGGTCTTGTCTCATGACTCTCATTGTCATTTGGTAAGGAAGTACCTACAGTATGAACTCTGCTGTATTCCCAATGTGCACATGAATAATCTCTCTTGCCTTTTAAACCGTCCATGTCCTGGTTCCAATGCTTTTCATGGCTGATTGAGTTTCAGCAGGAGATTTCCGAGTTAAGTGTGGATTCTCTAATTTAGAACATCTCTCTGAATAATCTCACATTCGATTTATTTGATCAGATTTATTTCTTGCTTGATGAGTCGTGTATCAGTAGGTCAAGAGTAGTGCTGCAACGGGTCATGGAACTCACGGTTTGGATCAAAAATCGGATCAGCACAAAAGAAAAAGGGGAGCAAATATAACTTTTCTAGATCCCTGATCATGTTTTGTTTGCCGCTGGTACTAATTACAGATCATTGATAATCCATAATGGCAGATACAGATTCCTTTGCTTTGCTGATTATACAGCTGGTGTACAAAGCTCCTTCTTTTTTGCCACTGTCCCAAACATCAATTCAACCGCTCTGTCTGTAAACCATCAACAATTCTACATGTTATCCTTTTGCTTTGTTAAAGTCATTTATAGTGTTGCATTGAGGCACACAATTCAAATGATTAGTAAATACAAGATTGTATTTTCATTGATTAAAATAAATCTTGTATTGTAATTAGTGGTTTTAATGATGCTTGGCGCTAGTGTAAACGGCTCATAGTTAATCTCTAATAGCTATTTATGTTGTGAAAATGTTTCCTTCAAACTACTGGATTTATTCAAGTTTCTCACCAACACTACGTTTTACGAGATTACATGTGAACACATCATGATAACATTATAATTGACCTTCGCCCAATACTCATTTTCACTGACCAGAGCCTGAACGCATCATCGAGTGTGTCGCTGTCTGTTTTTGTCTAAATGTTTCTCCCTCTGATGCCAAATCATAACAAGAAACCTCAAAAGACCCGCTGGTTGAGTAACACTACTGGTTTGCAAATGCATATGCAATGTGTTAACTTGTCTGCGTATGTCAATCATTCATCGAAGCTTATCACCAGTGTTGCTTCCTATTTCATCACTTCAAATCCAATAGAGACCAGAGAGGCAATCTAATACAATCTGGAACTGAAAGAACCCAAAAGTGCACCAATCTTCCACTCAATGTGTGCATATTTAGGCTTTGTTCTTCTTCAAAGCACTGACCTATAAAAATAATTAGACTGCTTTTTAGGTTCCTTACTGGCAACGTGATATTTAGGAGACCTTGTGTTTTTAAGTACTTTACAAAATTACAGTAGATAAGTATTTTTCCTCAACTCATTTGAGCTATATTTGCCTTCAGACCTTGTGAAAACATTTTCACAGTCTCATTATCACCACTCTATGATCGCCATACCAGTGTATAACTGATTGTTTTATGTGCGTGCTGCCGATATCAATGAATGGTATTCAGGTTATTATGGAGCCACTGTGGTGAATCAAGGCTCAAATGCCTGAGGCATGCATGCATGATGCACTTGTGTGAGAGAAACCTGTTGTGATACTCTTTCAGTAGGTGTGTATGGGGGTTGGTATGGGGCTGGTAAGACTCATGGCTAATATCAACTACTCTTTATCCATTAGAAAAAAACTCCCCCGCCACTGTGATGCACTATCAGGTCATCGCATGAGTCCAGACCAGCTTCTCTTAAGAGAAAATGAATGAACAGTTCCAGGGTTAAAATGTCTGCAGGAAAGCAACGATAAACAAGTGACTCAGTCACAGGAGAACATTTTGTAATAGTTCGTCAATAACATACCACAAAACATTATCGTGACTATCATTTTTTGACATTGATTTATAAGCTAGAGGTCTGAAACGGCATAACCAAATGTCCATATCTCTCCCCCCCCCCCCCCCCCCCCCCCCCCCCC